GAGTTTAGTTATTAATTTGTTTTTTTTTTTTTGATAATTGAATTTAAGAATTGGACCACTGTGTATTTCATTCGTTATTTGTTATCTGATTTTTCCGAATTATGTCTCGATGTAAAAATTCCATCAGATGTAAAATTTGCAATTAAACTAGGCCTTTAAACAGTCAAAACGATGTGTGTTAAATGTAATGGCAAGTGTAAAATTTGTTTTAGAAGTGATGCAAATTGTGTTAGATTTCGATGTCGGAAATGTAACTTTAAAATGTCTGCTTATGAGGGGACATTTAAAGAAAAATGTGGCAATTTATCCTGGTCAAGTATTTTTTCCTTGATATGGCATTTAATTTGTATTGACTGTTCGTTGAAATCCGCTTGGTTGGCCGTAGGTATAAGTAAAAGAACTGCCATTGGTTGGGCAAATTACATTAGACATGTAATAATGGTTTCGTTGAGTAATTTAAGTAATATGAAATTGGAGGACCGGAAAAGACAGTAGAGATAGATGAGACTGTGGTTTGCAAAAGGAAATATTGGAAACGAATAAACTCGGAATAAAAACTGATTGTCGCTTAATATGTTCAAAGTCCTAAAAAACAGTAAAATCTTATAATTTACTCAAACATGGGTGTGCGGCCTTAAAACTTTTCTTGAAAATTACTTTTTTTAAAAAAGAGATTTTATAATAATATTATACTTTTAATATTAAGAGTTTAATATTATTGTTCCCGTTTAAATGTTTGAAAAAGGAATGTAACATAGCATTAAGGAACGAAAAAGCATCATATTTCAAGCTATATCATACAGTCTTTATTTTAGGATTCCGCGTTTTCACAATAAAACAATGATAAAAATTTTCGCAATATCTACAGTGAATAGGAAAATAGAGGGATTCATTTTTCTGCTATATTTTGGAAGCGTCAGTGATCAGTAATGACGTGATGTTCCACATCACGTGGTTCTTCTCTTTAAAACACAATTAAGACCCGAGATGCATTTCCTCCTTCTATAAAGCCTGTATCAACAACTGTTCCTTGTGTGAAAAAAGAACCTAAAGGAATTTTCACGTAAACACTAAGAATTTCAAAAGTGAACAACAGTTGCAAATTTATCAAACAATCAACACTGGAGAAAAGCCTTACTGTTGTGACGAGAGTAAACAGAAGTTTACAGAAAAAGGAAGCTTAATTACACATCTTTGGACTCGCAACAGACAAACGCCACGTAAATGTTAATTATGTCCAGCAAAATTCATTCGAAACCATCATCTAAAAGTACATTAGAATATTTACACAGAAATTTCGAACGAATATTTTAAATTTCTATTGATGTAGAATTATCGAAAGATGTAAGCAAAACTGGTTTTAAAATTAAAATGGTGTTTTTTCAATTCCCGAGAAGTTTCAACTAAAAAACATTACAATATTCATACTCAGACGTCATTTTCTTCAAATTTTATAATTAGGCCTACATTAAACTTTTAGCATGTGGTTTTAAAACAAAATTTAATATTTTTGAATTTGCTGAAATTTCCTAATTGAATTTCCTGTTCAAGTATACAAAACAAAGTTTATGTAGCAATTTGTTGAAAACAGATTTCGTTATTATTGAATCACGCTATCATATATTTATATCAATACCTGAATTGTTAATTCATTTAAAAAAATTAATATTTGTAAATGGCTTACTACAAAAAAAATGGGTGCGACTTCTGTAAATGATACTTCCGCCAGAGTGTTCTATGACACCAGGAAAAGCCGACACTTCACGTCGTCATTTCAACTATCGTTGTCTGACCTACTTTTATTGTAATCAAACATTAGAGTAAAAACGTAGTAAGATCTTTAAAATTAATTAGCCTGTTAAATTACTTTACAGGCTATCCTTGTAATTTATAGTAAATTACTAGGTCTTTTTATAAAATTAGTAGTAGTTATTAAATTCAAATTCACGCTTTACGTAGTATTACAGTATTTACTTTGAAAGCATTAAAAATAGAAAAATAAGAGAATAACATAGAATTTATTTTTCACTATAAAGCAATTTTAAAAATCAGAAGCACGTAAGTTTTAATATTACGATAAAACTAGACCGAGGCATAAAAATTGAACTAATTTACTTAAATTTAATTAAATATACGACTGTCCATACACTTGCCTTCCTCCCCTGCATTAAGCACAATTCAAAAACTCCAATTAATCTTTTAAATATGTTTTAAAACCAGTATTATTGTATTGATATTATATCAATCCTGAATCTTATAGAATTTCTAACTGTGATTATAAATATATCTGCAAAATATTTTCGATATAAACACTAAGCCACAATAATCAAAACAAATTGATAAAGCATAAATTCTTCTAATATCCTTAAATCAAGTAATACTACTTTTTCTTTTATATTCGTCTCGCCATATCTTATTTATACCTTCTCTATTCACCCCCGTTTAATTTCATCTAATTATATTTAAAATCTAAAAAACTCTACAAGCAAATTAATTTGCTAATAAAGGACATAGTTGCTAACAAGACTTTGTATTATTCTTTCGCATTGTTCTACGTAAGAGCTACATATCAGTAGAGATGTCTAAATAACACGCTTATAAACAATGAATGAAATAAATGTTTTTAAAGAAGTACTACATAATTATATGTGCGAATAAGTTAGTGTAATACATACCTTCGCTTACAAGTATTACATCCAAACAAAGATCGGTTCTCGGTAATTGCCCAAAATAAAATATTTTTCAAGTTTTCTTTCTATAAAGTAGCATATTCTGAAACAAGTTTTAAATTTACACTAAACTTTTGACTTTTTATCCTTTAAAAACAACACAAAATATGTCAATGCCTAGAGTAAAAGTTTATCCGAGTGGACTTCGAAAGAAAATGGAAATAAACGGCACACCGCACTCTACGGAATTTAGCGTGAAATGATGTTTACGGGCAGAGAAGCCAGATGTTTTCAAAGAAAGTAGCCCATCCAGACTAAGAAAGAAGGCTGTTAAAGTAAAAAGTAGCCTAATGCAGTAATAACGTATAATAAATTAAACAAAATTAGATTATAAAAAAATTACGAGTATAATTACCTTTAAAAATTTTAAGTTTAATGCATTTAAATAAATCTATTTCACTGGCTTCTTTATCAAACATTTTTAAGCCAAAATTCAGCATGGTATTTGTTGGATTAAAGGTAACGCAGCATATGTTTTCATTTTTGAAAAATATTTTATTCTCAAAATTGATGCTGGAAGACCCAAGCTCATTTTCCTGTTTCTCAATTTGGTTTTGACCATAGCGAAAGCAAGCAATATAAACAGAATGGAAACTTCGATATCTAGGAAAATGTAGGATCCCTTACAGCATTTTTAATAGTTGGAACACCAAAACTCCAATGGAAACATTATCTAACAATATAATGAAAAATACTTGTCCAGTCTACTGTCAATTAGATGCCGCCATTGTCTCATTATTTCTCCAATTTTGAATTGATCAGACAGCCCTAGGGAAACAGTTGAAAATAGAAAACGAGTAGGACTTTAAAAAAATTAAGTTTATCTCCCAATATTTACTTAAGTAATTCGATATTTTTAGGTATGCGACTAAAAATTACTTTACAGGCTATTTTAGAAAGTTTGAACATCTTTCTTTAACTATAAATGCTTGTTGATAAGAAATTTTGTTTATTGTAAATTTATTCACCAAACGGTTTGAAATTTCATAGTCCAAATCAATCTTTTCATTTGACATATAATTAGATTAATCATTTAAATCTATGTGAAGTTTCACAAATTAAAAAAAAAACTCTTCTTTGCATAATGCAATGCTGCATAATTTATGTTTTAAAACGCGCGGAAAAAACATGACTTTAGCATTTTTAATATCGCTTGTTCTGTTGATGAAATGTATTACCATTTATTAAAGTAATTTCTTTTCTTGCAATCGATGAGTGTCCGTGTGTTTCTTAATAAAGTCGTTCTAAAACGGAACAAATGGCTGGAAAAAAAACATCGTTTGTAACCTTGAAACGGTCGCTTACTCACACTTGACATTTTCTGTGTCGGATCCCACCTTCCATCCACATGAAGTATTCAGAATTAAGAGCGGACACAGAGAAAGACACAAGCAGAGATGACAGTGAAAATTTATTGGTGTAACGATGTTTTGAAATTGCAGCTCAAAAATGTAACTTCGACTTATTGCATAGAATTTCTTCATATTAAACGTATGGGATATAAACACCAAAAAATTTACTGAAACAATACAGCGTTTGTCTGTCAAAAAATGAAGCAAATTTTAAACGTTCTCATAAAGTTCCATAATATGTATACCGTATGTATGAAACACGTAATGTCAGAATCATGTATGCCTGAAGATATTCTTTTCGAAATATATCATTACGCTCGTAATTTATTATCGCTCGAAGTTTTTCAACAACATATACCATATAATTTATTCTGCAGGCACATTTTTCTACACAAACGAGTTAACATAGGCATATCGCAGTTAGGACAAACTTTTCAGTTTGTTTCGAACAAGCGAATACCTTAACATCTGAATTTGTATATCCGCGGCCGAAACGAACTGTACAGTTCGAATATGCGTAAATTTTCTGTATTATGAATTAGAACAAAATATGCACTCTTCTGAATATTGATCGAATAAATTATAATAACTGCAATTAGCACGGCATGTATCTATAGAACAATTCTCTATTCAAGAAAATTTTATATAATAAGAGTTTAATTACATACAGTATTAAATACTGTAATGTTTTTTAGTTAAAACTTTTCAGAAACTCCAAAAAATATCATTTTAATTCAAAACCAGTTTGGCTTACATCTTTCGATAATTCTACATCAATAAAAATTAAAAATAACATTCCTTCAAAATTTCCATGTGTGAATATTTCTATTTATTTTTAAATCTTGGCTTCGAATGAATTTCTCAGGACATAATTAACTTTCAAAACTTTCATATCGCTTTTATCTCTTGTGTACCCGAAGATGTCTAATTAAGCTTGACCTTTGTGTAAACTTCTTTTTACACACGTCACAACTGTAAGGCTTTTCTCCTGTGTGGATCCGAAGGTGTTTAATTAAGGTTGATCTGTGTGTAAACTTCTGTTTACACTCGTCACAACTGTAAGGTTTTTCTCCTGTGTGGAGACGAATGTGTGAAATTAAGTCTGACTTTTGTGAAAACTTCTGTTTACACTCGTCACAACTGTAAGGCTTTTCTCCAGTGTGGATAAGGATGTGTTTAATTAAGTGGGACTTCTGTGTAAATTTCTGTTGACATTCGTCACAACTGTAAGGCTTTTCTCCTGTGTGGATCCGAAGGTGTTGAATTAAGTATGACTTTCGTGTGAACTTCTGTTTACACACGTCACAACTGTGAGGCTTCTCTCCAGAGTGGACCCGAAGGTGTTGAATTAAGCTTGACCTTTGTTTAAACTTCTGTTTACACTCGTCACAACTGAAAGGCTTCTCTCCTGTATGGATTCTTCCATGATTTTGAAAATTTTGTTTAGTTTTGAAATTCTTCTTACAGCGTTTACGTGAAAATTGTTTTTGGTTCCATTTCTCTGCAATTAAAAGAATCGTTTTTAAATAATATTCTATCCATGTATAACAAAAANTTGCCAAAATGATCGAATCACAGACAGAGTTTAAACCGAAATCTAATCGGATATTTATAAAATAAGTCAGATAGAAAAATCAAATAATCAAAATTATTAACAAAAATGAACTGAAAAGTACGTTTGAACAACAATGATCAGAAAATTGCTGAATATCAAAGAAAAGCTATTAATAGGCTGTCAAACAGATTGAACAGTGGGCTGAAAAGAAAAAACAATGCAAGAAGTTATTGAAATATTCAGTCTTTTAATATAACTAAATTTTAAATCGAAGTAATTTCGTTTTCACATAAAAAATGTAGCAACGAGTTGCGTATCTTTTCCGCCAATAATATTTAAAACTGCTCTGTTATATTTTATTAAAAAATCGTGTAATCGACTAATGTACCGAGTCAATTAATCTAACTGCCCAATAGCAACGATGTTTCAAATTTAAATTTTAAACGAATTCACTTTATTTAAATTTAGAAATAGTTTAACTATTAATATGTTTATGAAAACGTTTTGTCGAATTTTCATTTTCATTCACGTTTCATGTTATAAGAATAAGAGTTTTAGCTAGAAACTGGCAATAGAGAAACGTGTCAGGCACAAGAATATGCTGAACTTTGGAGATATCACGTGATAGATCAGAATACACTATAGCAAGGCTGGGCAACCTTTTTTATAACATGGGCCAGAATAAATTTTACGTTTTTTCCGCGGGCCATAGTAGTTAATTGACCAAATTTCTGCATCAAAACACAAAAAAGTAATCTTAGAGAAAGTAATGTTCGCGTAATAACTTAATATATTATGTTACTAATATTTTTAACAGTTAATCAGGAACGAAATATTAAAGTAAACAATTTCTGTATAACATATTTCAAGTGTAATCTTCATGAATTCTGTTTTTATATCCTTGCAGTGGGTTTCCGGCTTCTTTTATATTTTAATCGAAGACCACCGATGTAAGTAAAGCAGTGTATCTAATATACAATTTTGTTATAATCTTGGACAATATTTTCTGCAAAACGTTCTGTTTCATCCAAAGAATGTCTGAAAGTAATAACAACATACATGAAATAAATTCTATAAAATTTAAATTCACATCAGTTTAACATTATAATGCATTATTCATATTCATTCCTATTGTTAAATGTAACTTGAATAATATGTTAAAATTAGATAAAAAGTATATTGAATTTTTTAAAAACTTATTATAAGTATACTTTCCTGATAAGTCGTTCTCGACGAGAAAAACTCACAACATTGGCAAGGATAAAATACAAACTTTTAACAGTTAATCATGGATTTCCTTCTAGCGAAATTGAATGTCGTTCTTTTCATTTTTAGTTTCTCTTTTCTGTATTTTCAGGGTGAAAATCAGCTAAATGGAAGAAATAAAACAAACAATCTTAAAAATCAGACAAATTTATTTTGAATGCTTGTTGTGAACGGTGAATAAAATTTCTATTCTCTACGCTAAATCATTTAAAATACAGTGGTACCTCAGGATACGAAATTAATCTGTTCCGAAACTGAGATCGTATCATGAAAATGTCGTAAGGTAAATCATTTTTCCCTATACGATTACATGTAAAACTAAATAATTCGTTCCAACACGAAAAACACATTCAAATTAAAGCTTAGTAGTACATTAAAAAAAATAACTATAGTAAGAAAAACACTGAAAAATGCGTTTTGTAGTTGTAAATGTATAAATAACTATAACAGAATAATAACTTATTTAAAAAATGTAGTTTTAGTTGCACTTTACCCTTGAGGATAGACGACGATGGAGGTGTAAACTGGTGGCGGAAGAGAGGGAGAAGGGAAATGATACTAAAACTTAACTTACATAACATAATGTAACAATAACTTAAGAATAACTTAGAAAAGATAAATATATTAGTGTTGTTTTATATATATATCTGTCCAAAGAGCTTTGCTTACTTTTTAAAATGTTTCTAAAATTACTTAGGCAAATGTCATTACTCTGAGCAGCAATACAGCTATTGTGAATCTTTTTGGGATGTTTCTTTTCAATAAAATCAGTCACTTTCTGATAATATCTGAAGATTTCTTTTATCGAGCGAGATCCTTCCACGACCAAGCAAACACGCGGACTGAGACGGATGAACAGAAGTGAATAAAAAATGGCGCTGCGAACTAATCGAGACATTCCAATTTTCAACGCGAGTGTTGAGTGTTGCAGTCAACAATTTGACGTCATCAACGACGTTCCAACTCGAGTACGAAGTGCTTAGTTCCCATAATTCCATTCTCAGCAAGATGGATTCCATTCAAATGTCTTACGAATTACCCACAATTCATTGGAAAGTAGCAGTCAACACATCTGTTGAGTGCTGAGTATGTTGAGTCAGCGCAGACAACAGCGCTACCTCAACGTTGAAAAAAGGAACGAATTTTAACGAATGTTGAGATCAGCGCTGAGTCAGCGTTGAAAATTGAAATGTCCCGTAATGTAACGTCGTATGGTGAGTTTTTGTTCGTATCGTGGAACAAAAATATGTTCGAATTTCATGTCATATCCTGAAAATTTCGTGTGCTGGTGCGTTCGTATCCTGAGGTACCACTGTATATAAATCCTATTTAAAATTAATTGATATTTACAGATGAACATGATATATTAGTAACTGTATACAAATAAATTTTTCAGAAATTTATTTTGGTAATGTAAAATTTTTTGTGATAAAGTGTCATTGGTGAATTTTTTGAAAATTGTTTTGAAAGTTGTCTATACGAAAAATATCTATATAAAATTGAAATGGTAAGTAAAAATTAACTGTAAATTAAAATAAAATTTCGTTTTATTATTGTAGACGATTACATTGACTACTTATAATATGAAACAGAGAATAAAATATTACCAGTACTTCAAGCGCGTAGTATTTTTAGTCGACTAAAAATTAAACATTCTTGGCTCTGTTGTTCAGACTGTGAACAGAATAAAAATTGGCACAACCTTTTCCTTAAACGTAGAGAAAGAAGTGTTATGGTGTGTGAATGGACGACAACCTATGGAGACAGAAGACATGTGTTTAATGATGGAAATATGTAGGAAGAATGACGATATATTTCATTAGAAAATGTTAAAACTTTCGCTGGAAAACTACGTATCTCGAATATCTTACATTCTCATCACGATAATGATCCATAACACAAGGAATATAAAGTGGTTCAGTACTGTTGCCAAAATGATCGAATCACAGACAGAGTTTAAACCGAAATGTAATCGGATATTTATAAAATAAGTCATATAGAAAAATCGGATAATCAAAATTATTAACAAAAATGAACTGAAAAGTACGTTTGAACAACAATGATCAGAAAATTGCCGAACATCAAAGAAAAACTATTAATGGATTGTCAAACAGATTGAATAGTGGGCTGAAAAGAAAAAAACAATGCAAGAAGTTATTGAAATATTCAGTCTTTTAATATAACTAAATTTTAAATCGAAGTAATTTCGTTTTCACATAAAAAATGTAGCAACGAGTTGCGTATCTTTTCCGCCAATAATATTTAAAACTGCTCTGTTATATTTTATTAAAAAATCGTGTAATCGACTAATGTACCGAGTCAATTAATCTAACTGCCCAATAGCAACGATGTTTCAAATTTAAATTTTAAACGAATTCACTTTATTTAAATTTAGAAATAGTTTAACTATTAATATGTTTATGAAAACGTTTTGTCGAATTTTCATTTTCATTCACGTTTCATGTTATAAGAATAAGAGTTTTAGCTAGAAACTGGCAATAGAGAAACGTGTCAGGCACAAGAATATGCTGAACTTTGGAGATATCACGTGATAGATCAGAATACACTATAGCAAGGCTGGGCAACCTTTTTTATAACATGGGCCAGAATAAATTTTACGTTTTTTCCGCGGGCCATAGTAGTTAATTGACACCTTGTAACCTGTAAATTTTCAGTCTGCAAATATGAAATAAATAAATAAATAAAAAGAAATTAATTACTACAGTCGACCCCCCCTTAACACTGTTGATAATTCTGTTTTATATGAATTCCATGTTGTATGAGTCACTTAGATTTTACAAATGCGTGTGCCGGGCTGTGAACGGCTCACCTATTTGTAAAATCTAAGTGACTTTAAACACAATAAAAACAGCACTATGTAGTTGGATACGACAGACATTACATTTTCTAATTGCATAGCTTTTGCACATAGATTTTCTTGATGGATGATGCGATGAGATATAAATAATTTAGAAAAATTCTGTTCTCCCATTTTTTGTTTGAATAAGGAAATGACTCCCTTATTTTTTCCTGTCATTGCTGCCGCAACACTTCAGAAAATAATATTCAATTTAAACTAGACGAATTACATCGAAAAATATTTATTTATAATTTCTTCTAAACATCTCGCGGGCCGGATAGAAACTCTTCTTCGTGGGCCGTAGCTGGCCCGCGGGCTGCCCACCGTTGCACTATAGTATTTTAACTAGAAACGAATTATTGTTATTATTATTGACTATATGGAACAAAAAAGGTAAAACCGCTGGCTAACGACAATAATTCTATCATAATATATATTGTGATGATAAACATTAATCAGATGCAAAATAAGATTTCTATAATTTCTTCTAAACATCTCGCGGGCCGGATAGAAACTCTTCTTCGTGGGCCGTAGCTGGCCCGCGGGCTGCCCACCGTTGCACTATAGTATTTTAACTAGAAACGAATTATTGTTATTATTATTGACTATATGGAACAAAAAAGGTAAAACCGCTGGCTAACGACAATAATTCTATCATAATATATATTGTGATGATAAACATTAATCAGATGCAAAATAAGATTTCTAANCCCACCGTTACACTATAGTATTTTAACTAGAAACGAATTATTGTTATTATTATTGACTATATGGAACAAAAAAGGTAAAACCGCTGGCTAACGACAATAATTCTATCATAATATATATTGTGATGATAAACATTAATCAGATGCAAAATAAGATTTCTAATGTCTAGATGTGAATAAATATTATACAATTTTGTTTACGACATGAGAGATTAGGCCATTTAAAAGTAGAGCAGAATTATTAGTTAGTTATCGCATTATTATATGTCGTAATATATTGATCCATATTTAGAATGGAATAAAGTTTTAATATTTCTGTTAACGATGTCTCTAAAGTTCAGCGAATTCTTCGTAAAAGGAATAAGTTATCAGGAAACGTCAGAGAGTAGTAGTCATATGACCGAATAGCACCGACAAATGTCGCGTGACACGCTTTGTACGTGTCCGCCGTCCGATGTGACGCTCCGCGACGAAAACAAGCCTAAGCAATGGTGTCTTCGAACGGGTACACTCGATAAGTATTCCGACAATTTTTTGTTCATAGCATATTTTATATCGATCATTTTCAACAAATTATACGTGTTTTGGAAATATTCGAGTGAAATTAGTCTAGAATTAACTAATTTTATGGAAGAAAACCTCTCATGTAGCCGTACCCATAAACGGCACAAGTGTCATTATTTCTACGTTAGAAATGTTTAAG